CAGGATGATGGTTTCCAACATGACTTGTTTGTGGTTCATGTGAAGGGTTCAGACCGGCTCCACAGATGCTCAAGGAGAAATCGGRCACATCATCCCTGAACATCTGCAGGAGCCGTCTTTGCCCAAGGTAAACCCGACCAGCTGATGTGCACAGTGCACTTGGATGCCCTTTCCAGGCTGTGCTKTCCAGATGACCCCGCTGAGGTCCCTTCCAGCCCTCCCATTCTGTGATTCTGTGACGTGTAAGTGCCTGCACTGTGCACTGACACTCACTGAGATAATTCACTTGTGGTTTTCCTCTGCATTTGATCTCAGCTGTCTGTGAAGATGCCTTTTACTCCCACGTTTATTGTGTCCATGTTACTGAAMACACATTAAGCACTTACAAAAAATGAAACTCTGACAATGACAATTTTACCTGGGTAAATTATCTTACAGAAACTATGAGGACTCAGAGGGGAAGAGCTGAGGGTGAAGCAAGGGGCAAGYCTGGCAGCAGTGGGATGAAAACCATCTGTGACCAAACACCATCCCCGGGGCTGCTGAGCCCAAGTTCTGACAACTTCAGCAAGAGCCCAGCAAGCACTGGGATGGTCCCAGTGCTGCTGCTCCGGGCTGTGCTCCAGGGAAAAGCCCGGCACATCAGCGGGGAACTGCACCCCCTTCCACCTCTCCTCCCCTCGGCTCCAGCACTTACAGAAGTCCGCAGCCATCCAAGCAAGCCGGGGGCTCTCACCGGCGGCAGGTTTGTCCCACCAAGGGCTCGAAGCTTTCCTGGCTCTCCTCCATCACCCCCGGAAACGCTTCCCATGTACCCGCTGGGCTCCTGGGAGCATCTTCCCTGCTCGCCCGTCCTCGCTGCAGCCCCCTGGGTTGGGGGGCCGGTCTAGGGGCGGGTGAAACTGCTGCCGTGGCACCGGGACAGAGCCGGGCAGTGGGTGGCTGCCCCTTCCCGGGATTCTCACTGGAGCCGTGCGCCCTTCCAGCTGCTCCAGCTCAGCGCCAGACACGCACAAAAGTCTTTCTGGCCTTTTCCTTTCCTAATTAACTTTATTTCCATCGCGTGGAGGAGCTCGGACAGACTAATTGCCGTGCTCGTCCTGGCTGAGCCTGGTGCTGACCTGAGCCTGCAGATCGGGGGAATTAGGAGCTGGAAGGAGGGAAAACAGATTAGTGCCCGTGGAGGGAAATCCTTTACCCACAGGGCAAATCTGAAGCGACAGCACCGTACAGAGCAGCAGGGACAGCGCCGGGAGGGACCTGGGCGTGCCGGGACCTCGCTGGTCCCGCCGACAAAGGTGAGTGGGACACCGACATTTTGGGAGTGCGACCGACTAGTGGTTGGCTGTTTGGGTTAGGGGTCGAGGACTTCGCAGTTCCCCAGAATTATCCCCAGCCAGGCTGCCATGCGGAACAGCGGGGCATCCTCGCAGCGGGGAGCAGCCGAGTGTTTGGCCACAGAGCCCCCCGTGCTGGCACCSACTGTCCCTTAAGCTGCTATTTCTGATTTTCTCCTCGGCTTCCTCGGCATTGAGGGATCCCAGGGCTTAGCACGCTAAGAGGTTTTAGGGAATTACACGTCCTGCTGCGGCACCAGAGGGAGGGGCGTCTGCATCTCTGCATGGACCAGGCGGTGATCCCGCCTCCCCTCGCCTCCCCTCGGCTCCGGCACGGGCTGAGCTGCCGGCAACGATGCACGGGATGGGAAAAAAAAAAACACCCCAGGAAACTTGGGAGAGCTAGCATGGGATGGGGCACAGCCTCACGAAGGAGAGCTGCCCTGCACAGCCTGAGGGTGAGCACCATGTGGTGAAGGGTGTTCCCCCTGCTCGGGACCTCTGTGGTCATATATGTCACTGCTTCGGGGGATTGAAACCCCCTTCTTCCTCCTCCTGCCATCCTCTCCAGCTCCTTTCTGACAAACCTCCTTCTGAGCAGCTATCCCCGGACTTTGGGGCATCTGTCCTCCCGTGCTGACACATACACACACACCTCCTACAAACCTAGTGCATCTCTGTCACTATTCCCCGCCCAAACAGTCAAAACTGCAATGAATTCCCCCTTTTTTCAGCCAGTGAGGTAATGGCTTCTTTCACCTAAATTTTTAAATTACTCTAGCACTTTAAACACTGACAGTGAGTTTTAATCCTTGAAAGAACTGAGTTCTGGGATCCCCAGTGAATGGAGGAGGTTTCCATGAAGACCTTCTGCCAGACTTTGACCAGATCAGACTTTTAAACTGATTTCACAGTGTTTGGACTGAATGAGCTTCATCCCTCTGAGTCTCARCCTCTGTTCAGGTATTTGCCAGCTGGTTTGTCCTTGAGCACAGCCTGTMAGGGCACCGAGTGGATGCTCCTTGGCAGTGCCAGTGCCAGTGCAGTGGCACTTGCTGCAGCTTCTGTCTTCGCTGTGCCCAGGGACACACAGACCCTGCCTGTCCCCCACAAACAAATCACCTCGTGTCTACCCCCAGCCCATTCTCTGCTGCCAGACTTGCCAGGTGMCATCCAGTTACCCAAACCAAGTTATTTCTGTACCTGCAGAAATTCTGCTGTCTCAGTAGGATGGGGGGAAATGGCTTTTCACCTTCATCCTCCATCGGGAGCCAAGTGTCTTGGGCTGCACYCCAGGACAGCTGTGCCACAGGAATATTTTGGCTACATTTCTCCCTCTCACGTCCTGTTTGATGCACTGGGTGCCCAAGTGAGTGCACTGGACTTACCAAGGGAAAAAAAAAAGAGACTCTTCCTGAAACTCAACCTCCTCTCCTGCCTCCCACCAAGCCGATTCACCTCCTCTYGGTACCAAAGCCCCAGAGGCACCCGTGGAACGCTCACCTGTGCTGTCCGAGCTCCAGCCAGAGGCACAGCGGGACCCAGAGCTGGGTAAACCATCCCAGCAGTTTGGGAGCCTCAGGGTCGGTGGCGCGGCGGCCGCGCCTGGACGGGTTTCTCTGGCAAGTTCCAGGCAGGCACCGTAACCCAATCGGCCCTGGGCGGGAGCACCGGGAGGTTTCAGTTGTCACACAGAGGGACGGGCACAGCGCTGAACCCGGAGTGTTCCCATCTCATCCCGGTGAGAGCCGGAGCGAACCCCGCTCACCTGGGACAGGGCGGGATGAGGAGGAYCCGGTTTACAAGGGAATATGGTGCTCAGAGCTTTGAGAAGGATTCTGCTTCAGGRACTTCACCAAAGGCAACAAAAATGAAGGCATTTTTGGCGGTTCTTAAGGAATGACACAGGGCTGGGCAAGGGCATTCGGTGGTGGTGCTCTGGGAAGACGGAAGCAGCACATCAGTGCACGGTAACGAGCCCGGCACCGTGAGAACGCGACGCACARCTCCGGGGTTTATTAACTGATTTAATTTGCGTTTTTACGGCTCTGTCGCCCCTTTGCCGTTCGCGGAGGGTGGCTCTGCTCTTTCCCCGGCGGGTGCGGAGCCGCTGCCGGGCTCTCCGTGCCGGGCCGGGCCCGCCGGGGCGCCTGAGGGCGCTGGAAGCGCCGGGAACGCGGGAGCGGCGCCGCTTCCGCAGGGCCGCGGCTGCTCCGGGCCGTGTCCCCCCGTGCCCCCCGTGTCCCCCGGGGCTGGAGCCTGTCCAGGGAACAGAATGGAGCTGGGGAAAGGTCCCAGGAGCGGCTGAGGGAGGTGGGAAAGGGGCTGAGCCTGGAGCAAAGGGGGATCAAGGGG